GGAATAGGTGGGTGGAACAGATGAATGCCTGGTGGAAGAGTTGGTGCAGGTGGGAGAGTTCCTAGTTTGATGCGTTCAACAGATCAGATGAACAGCAACAGGACTGAAATAACTCCACAGAGGCCAGTATCCTGTCACCCAGTCACCAATTATTTACACAAGGAGAGTCATTGACACTGATCCAGCTCCCTCAGAGCCATTTCTCAGAGTGAGCAGAACCCCTGACACTCCTGTTTATATCTGTCAGCCAGGGCTCCCTGATTGGACCAGATTAACAGCCCCAATCAGGGAACTCATATTCTACAATAACCTTGTTTGATGACCTTGTTACAATCACTACAGGGACCAACATCCTGTTTAGGGGGATGGGGGTTATCACTGTTGTTGGAGTTTTAAACTAATTTGGAAGGGGCAATGGGATACAATGTAAAAGTGGTGCAGGAAGTGACATGTATAGAACAAAACCAGGTTGATCAAAAGTGCTACAAGAGAGGGGCCAGTACTGGGCCTAGTTTGAGAGAACAAAACCAGCCAAGTGGTAGAAATGTCTGGGGGAAGCATTTTGGCAATAGTGATCATAACTTAGTAAGATTCAATTTAGCAATGGAATAGAACAATGGGGAAACATTTTGGTAATAGTGAGCATAACTCAGTAAGATTCAATTTAGTGATGGAAAAGAACAAAAATGGACCAGAAGCAAAGGTTCTGAAATGGCTGGGGAGAACAATTTTAAATATGTTAAGCCAGGATCTGGCCGAAGTGGACTGGGAATAGCTATCTGCAGGAAAATCCACATTAGGAGACAGTCAGAAGTGTAAGAGTGAGAGCGCAGGGTCAATGTTTTCCCATAACGGTGCAGGAGGCAAGGCTGGAACCAATAGGTCCAAAGAACCCTGGGTGTAGTGTCAATGGATGGACGGAAAATATAAAGGAAAAAAAAAGGAAGGTCATGGCACATACCGAGAGCCCAAAAAGCTGTGAAAGCCCTAGATGAGCATAGAAAGTACAGGGGGTTACTTTAAAAAGTTAGGATAGTGAAGGTGGGGCTTGAAAATCACTGGTGGGTAAAATAGAGGAAAATGCAAAGGCATTTCCTAAATATACTAAAGAGAGAGGATGACCAGGGAAAGAGTCATGCTCATTAGGGATCAAAATGGCAATCTATGACATAGTTACCTTTTAAATGAGTACTTTACACCTGTATTCTCTACAGAGAAAGCTGAAGTAGGTAAGAATTCAGGGAGAGAAGCTGTGATATCCACGAATATGAAACATCAGCTTTCCTGCTCCTCTGATGCTGCCTGGCCTGCTGTGTTCATCCAGCTCCACACCTTGTTATCTCAGACTCCAGCATCGGCAGTTCCTACTATCTCTATTAAGGAGGTGGAACGTCTTTGCCGTTTTAGTGGGCTTGAAATTGGCCCAGATGAGATGTATCCCAGGATGCTGTAGGAGCCAAGGGTGGAGATTACAGAGGCTCTGACATTAATTTTTTAATCCTCTCTGGCCATAGGAGGAAGGTCAGAGGACAAAAGGACAGCTAAGGTAGTACCATTATTCAAGACACTTGGTAGGGATAAGCCAGAGAGCTACCAGCCAGTGAGTCTAACATCTGAGGTAGGGAAACGATTGGAAGAAATTCTGAAAGACAGAATCAATCTCCATTTGGAGAGACAAGGGTTAATCATGGATAACCAGCATAGCTTAGTAAGGGGTGATCCTGGTAAACAAATCTGATTGAATTTTCGAGGAGGTGGCTGGGTCTGTTGGTAAGGGTAGCGCAGTGGATGCAGTTTACATGGACTTCAGCAAGGCTTTTGTCAAAGTCTCAAATGGCGACTGGTTGGAAGCTAAGTGCCCGTGGGACCCAGGGAAATTTGGCAAATTGAATCGAAAATTGGTTTAGTAGTAGGAGTAAGAGGTTGATAGTCAATATTTGGTAAATGGAAGCTGTGTTCTGAGGTGTACTGCAGGGTCCAGTGCTAGGTTTCTTGCTGCTTGTTGTGTACATTAATGATCTAGGCATTGTAATCTGTATTATAATCTGTCGGTATAATCTGTAAATTCACAATTAACACCAAGAAATGGTGGTCTGGTAAATAGTGAGGACAAAAGCCTCAGACTACGAGCCAGTGTTGATTGGCTGGTCAGATGGGCAGAACAGTGACAAATGGCATTTAACCCTGAAAGTTGTGAGTTGATGCATTTTGGGAGGACTAACAAGGCAAAGGAGTACACGTTAAATGGCCAGATCCCAGGAAACACAGAGGATCAGAGGGACTTTGATGAGCATGTCCATTAATCATTGACAAAAGTAGTATAGATTGATAAAGTGGTTAAGAAGACATATTGCCTTTATTAGTCAAGGCATTGAATACAAGAGCAGGGAGGTCGTGTTGGAGCTGTATACAACATTAGTTAGGCGACAGCTGGAGTACTGTGATCCCTCCCCCCATTCTACCCTGTCTCCCCCCCTCTCTCTCAAGCCCCCTCTCCCCCCCCTTCCCCCCCTCCCCCCTCTCTCCCCCCCCCACCCTTCCATCTCTCTCTCCCATGTCTCCCTCCCCTCTCTCTCTGCAACCCCCCATCTCTCTCCGTCTCCCCTTCTCTCTGTCCAGCCGCCCCCTCTCTCAAGCTGCTATATTCCCACTCTTTCTGGTCACCAAACTGTAGGATGGATACAATTGCACTAGAGAGGGTGCAGAGGACATTCACCAGGATGTTACCTAGACTGGAAAGACTTAGCTATGAAGAGACACTAGCCTGGTTGGGGTTGTTTTCCTTCAAGCAGAAAAAGGTGAGAGGCGACCTGATTGAGTCACACAAAATGATGAGTTTGAGGGGCGTAGATAGGGTAGAAATGGATAAATGAGTCCTTTTGGTAGAAGGTTCAATAATGAGGGCACACTTTTAAAGTAAGGAGCAGGGGGTATAGAAGGGTTTGAAAAAGAAATTTTCTCACTCAGTGGTTGGTGGGTATCTGAAAAGGTACAAACAGGAATGCTCACAACATTTAGGAAGTACTTAGACGAATACTGGAAATGCAATAGCACATGGACCATGTATGGACCATATGCTGAGAAATGGGATTAGAGATGATAGATGTATGCTGACTAACATAGACACAATGGGCCAAAGGGTCTTTTCTCTGTGCTGTAAACCTCTTTGACTCTATCTCTGGACTGGTGTCCCAAACAATTTTTGTCCCTGAATGAACGTCACAAAAACAGATCATCTGTTAACGATCTCAAGTTGTTTACAGGATCATGCCAATCGCAATTTGATTTTGCATTTCCAACATTACAACAGTGACCACACTACATAGCGAGCAACAAGCTCCATTGAAAGTATGTGAATTTGGGCTGTGGGCACAGATCATGAGAGTGCCGAGTGAAAGGACATTTGGCGGTTCTAGACAATGGCCCGCGAATGTATTTAGATCCAATTTCAGGCTGAACGTTGACAGTAGCAATAGGCCACCAGGCTTAAAACTGTGGATGAGTCAGAAAAGAAACTAAGAGGAGAGTGACGGCTGAAGATGGGAGAAGGGGTGGCAGGAAACCACAAAGTAACAAAGCCAGAATAAGTTGCGACATCATTCTCTTACCTGCCCTGTTCATCTCTAGCGATCATCAGCCGCATATTATTGGACGATGAGGCTGCTCGAAGGATTTCTACTGCACTAGAAACAAGATGCAAGACAAGGCGGTGTCTAGACACATTACAACAGTGAACACATTTCTAAAACACTCTATTTTGCTGTAAAGTGCTTTATAATGTCCTAAGATCATTAAAGACATAATATAAATACATATTTCTTTCTCTGTCTTCATTTCTTTCACTCTCTTTTTTTGTTTCTCTTTCTTTCCCTCCCTCTCCCTTTGGAAATATTTGAAAGTAAAGTTTCAGAATGTGCCTTAAATTGAGGTTGGGAGGGTCATCCCCGCTTCCCCTGGCTACAGTAGAATGCCGAAGGCTTTCCAGTTCTCAGTGGTTAGCACTGCTGCCTGCCAGGGACCCAGGTTCAATCCTAGCCTCAGGTGACTACTGCCTGTTTTGAGCTCGCACATTCTCCCCATGTCTGCGTGTGTTCCCTCTGGGGTCTCTGGTTTGCTCCTGTGGTCCAAAGATGTGCAGGTTAGATGGATTGGCCATGCTAAGTTGCCCATAGTGTGCAAGCTGGGTAGGTTATCTGTGGGCAATGCACAGATTGGGAAATGGGGCTGGTCTGGGTGGGATGCTCTTTGGTGGGTCAGTGTGGACTTGATGGGCCAAATGGCCTGCTTCCACACTGCAGGGATTCTATTTTTCAGTTGAGGCAGTCCCAGATTTCATCTCTACAATGAGTTAACCACTGCTGTAGCTAGCTGCCTTGGGGTAAGCCAATCTTATGGTGAAGACCCAAAAGAGGAATTAAGGCCCCTCTTTGGTCCATTGCCTGTTTTCAGTGTGAGTCCTGGGTGGGTTTTTTTGCCTTCACTGATATGATAGTGGAACACTTCCATCTGGAAATCTGTGTATAACCCTCTATGTACGTTAACTAAGACTCAGCAAGTGCCTATTCTGTGCTCAGTAGACAGCAACCTGGTCAGAATTGAGTCTTTATTCAATTGACTCCAATCCTGGTGGAAGGTCACATGCCTACAGCAAACTAAGAACATTTGTACATTTCCACCCAAAGAGCGCCCAATATAACAGCCTCAACTTAAAGGAATGAGTTCGGTTCATCAATGTGCTGGTGGACCATAGAACTATCGAAAATAGAAGCAGGAGTGGGCCATTCGGCCCCTCAAAACTATTTCACCATTCAATATGATCATTGCTGACCATCCTACTCAGTCCCCTCTTCCTGCTTTCTCACCATAACCTTTGATCTTTTTAGCCCTAGAACTAAATCCTTCTTGAAAACATTCAATGTTTTGGCCTCAACTGCTCCCTCTGACAGAGAATTCCACATGTGCAGGCAGTGCCTATAGAGAACAAGGCTTAGAACAGGCAAGAACTATATGAGGGTCATTGGTCACAGTGACAGTAGTTGAGCAGTTAATTGTATTTAAAAGCTATCATTACAAGTGAAGACAAATTAAAGTGGTGGACTTGGGACTGTATAACTAACTGGTATAAGAGGCGTTGCTGAAGAGAGAGGGAGACGAGTTTCTCTCATGCAATGCTCTGTGCAATTGTTCAACAAATTGCAGCTGAGCCTGAAATGAAGTTTATTTTAAAAGTGCTTTTGCAGTCTGGCAGGGAAAACTGACAACTCTAGCAGATAGTTGTCCAACCCCGTAACACACAGCAGGATCCTCTCTGCTCCCTGGACGAAGGTAAATTTGAACCTTTTACTTTCTATCTCCAAGCAGCGTGGCATGAGAGGATGCCATAGCCACATGTTCCCTGGTTGGTAACACAGTGGGAAGGAGACAAAGCTAAACCTGTCACTGTCATCACGAATTTGATTACTGGCCGTGAGCAAAATATGTGTCGGCCGTCTCTGTGCTTGATACTTTGTTTTAAAATAGCAATTTAAAGAAATGTCATTCGTAACAGTACAGCTTTGATAAGGATTCCAGCAGTCAGCCTGCAATTACTTGGATTATCTCAGGAGGTGGTAATGTTGATTCTCTGGGGGCATGGGCTCAAAGAACACCATGGCGGATGGTGAAATTCTAATTCAATAAAAATTTAGACCGTAAGACCATAAGACATAGGAGCAGAAATTAGGCCATTTGGCCCATCGAGTCTGCTCCACCATTCAATCATCGCTGATAAGTTCCTCAACCCCATTCTCCTGCTTTCTCCCCGTAACCCTTGATCCCCTTGATAATCAAGAACCTATCTATCTCAGTCTTAAATGTACTCAATGACCTGGCCTCCACAGCCTTCTGTGGCAGTGAATTCCACAGATTCACCACTCTCTGGCTGAAGAAGTTTCTCCTTATCTCCGTTCTAAAAAGTCTTCCCTTTACTCTAATTTGGATGAGGGTGGAAAAAAACCTGTGGGGCCACGTCAGCACTGTTGATTGCTGGGGGCAAAAAAACCCCATCTGGTTCACAAATCCCCTTTAGGGAAGGCAATCTACTGCCCTTACCTGGTCTGGCCCACATGTGACTCCAGACTCACGGCATTTAGGGATGGGTAATACATGCTGGCCTAATCAGTGACACCCACATGGCTTGTGAATGAATTAAGAATGCATATATATAACAAGAACCAGATCTAATAAGTCACATATAGGAACAACGAGCAGGAGTAGGCCATTCAGCCCCTCGAGCCTGCTGCACCATTCAGTGTTATCATGGCTGATCTCTTCATGGCTTCATCATTTTCCTGCCCACTCTCCATAATCATTTAACCCATTACTAATTAAAAATCTGTCTATTTTGTCCTTAAATTTCTTCAGTAGCCTATCATCCCCCACACTCAGGGGGAGTGAATTCCACAGATTCACTCTTTGAGGGAAGTAATTCCTCCTCATCTCTGCTTTGACTTTGTCACCCTTTAGCATAAAACGATGACTTCTCTTTCTGAATATTTGAAGAATATTTAGGGTGGCTTAGTGGTTAGCACTGCTACCTCATAGCGCCAGGGACGCGGGTTCAATTCCACCCTCGGGCGACTGTCTGTGTGGAGTTTGCACATTCTCCCTGTGTCTGTGTGGGTTTCCTCTGGTTTCCTCCCACAGTCCAAAGATGTGCAGTTTAGGTGGATTGGCCATGCTAAATTGCCCGTAGTGTTCAGGGATACGTAGCTTAGGTGGGTTATAACGGGGTGGGATGCTCCAAGGGTCGGTGTGGACTTGTTGGACCGAAGGGCCTGTTTCCACACTGTAGGGATTCTATGTTCTATGTAATGCTGATTGGCCAGCTGCAGCTGGATTCTGTGTCTTGACTTGTCCCGTTAGTGAGATATGAATGACTGAGACAGTCTCTTTCATATCACTAGTTTTCTCCTGTACCTTTCATTCGTCACTCCAACCAGACTCTCACCATTAACCTCAAGAATCTGGTCTCCAGGCTGCAGCTGACCTATAAATGAAGGAAAAATGTTTCACAAGTGTGTTCGAGGCAATAAATGAAAGACACAGTTAGCAACCATAACACTTGTATGTGCAAATGGGGAAACATACTGGGAAGCATTTGCAAAGCAATTGGACAAAAGTTATTTAAAGGCAGAATAAAAGTTTAATGCTACATTTCTGATTTCCGAATTACAAAAAGCAGACTCAATGGGCCAAATAGCCTACTTTTGCTCTCTGTTTGATGGCATTAGAGGATGGGAATTAAAGCTTGCCTAAACCTGCAGTTTCATATATTTTTGGTCTTGCTTGAAAAGGGTGGCCATCACCTTCATCAGGAGATAATAAAGCCCATCCTGGATGATCTAAGTCAAGTGATAGGGTGTCATGGTGCTATCCCAACCTCAGTACGAATCCTCAGAAGGATTTGACACTAAGTATTCTACTCAGAACAGATGATGGCATTAGGAGTGTTGGCTCCTGTTCTCACTGATATGTGAACATAAGGATATAAGAAACAGAAGAAGGGTGTAGGCCATGTGCATGCTTCATCATTCAATACAATCAGAGCTGATCTAACTCCACTGCACTTTCCCACCCACAGACCAGAATTCCTCAAAACCCTGAGAGATCAATAATCTATTATTTCTTTCTTACTCCATACTCAACAGTTGAACAGTCACAGCTCTCTGGGGTAGAGAATTTCAAAGACTCACAATCCTCTGATTGAAGAAACCTTTCCTCAACATAACACTAAATGATCAATCCCTTATCCTGGATTCCAGAATCATGGGAAAGAACATCTTGCAAAGTGTAGTGTGTTTCGATCAGATTACCTCTCACAATTTACAGAGGAGTAGAGGACCCTATTTAATGTTGCCCACAGAACAGTCAGTGAATGGTCTGGTTGCTGGCCTTTAGGCTTGAGGATCCATTTGAGGATGGATTGGAGAAGTTGGGACTGCTTTCCTTGGAGAGGAGCAGGCTAAGAGGAGAGCTGATGGAAGTTTTCGAAATCTCCAAGCAACTGGACAGATAGGGAGAAAAGAGCTCACTGCTCTGAGAGAACTAAAGGTTTTATCAGCGTAAAGAAGAGGTGACATTTTAGGTCAGACAATGCACGATAGGTATGAAGCCTTGTTTAGAATCCATTTGTGGTTTGGTTTGGAGTCAGACTGATTTTATTTCTAAAGTAGGAACTTATAAACCGTTCTCTCAGGACGCTAACTTGCAAAAAAAATCAGGGATTTGCAATTACACATTAATCAATTTAAACTTTCTAACTGATTAAAGATTTAACAGCATCTTGGTTTGCTTAATACATCCTCCTCAGTTGTGTGACCCTTAGATCTTTTACTTATAAATTCTGTGTCTGGTACCACCTCTCTCACTAACGCCTGGGCAAGTAGCGAGGCTCCGAAAGCTTGTGTTTTCAAATAAACCTGTTGGACTATAACCTGGTGCCATGTGATTTATTACCTCGTCATTAGAGAGAGATGACTGGTGGTGGTTTAACCAAAGATCCTTAAACAGCACCTTTTAAACCCACGACCACTTCCATCTAGAAGGACCAGGGCAGCAGATACATGGGAACACCACCCCCTGCAAGTCCCCTCCAAGCCACTCACCATCCTGACTTGGAAATATATTACTGTTCCTTCACTGTCGTTGGGTCAAAGTCCTGGAATTCCCTCCCTAATAGCATTGTGGGTCAACCTACAACACATGAACTGCAGTGGTTCAAGAAGGCAGCTCACCACCACTTTCTCAAGGACAACTGGGGACGAGAAATAAATGCTGGCCAGCCAGCAAAGTCCACATCCCAAAAAATGTATAAATAAAAACATCCTGAGGGCACCATGCCTCAGTTCAAGGAAGAGTTCTTCATGGTAACCTCAGCCAGCAGTGGGAATTGAACCTACAGCGTTGGCATCACTCTGCCTCACAAGCCCACTGTCCTGCTAACTGACCCCTTACATCTGCATGACCTCCCGGTAGAATTGATAGTCCTGTACTCTCTTGGCTATCAGTCACAAATCATGAACTTCGATTGTACAAAACACAGTTGTTTATATCTTATTGTGCTCCAGATCTTAGGTACCCATTATTTCCCAATTACCCCTGCCTGACCTCACCCCTGTCCCCCAGTAACTCAACCTTAAAACTCCCATCCAGATGGTTAAGATCACTTTGTGGCCTCACTTCTCTTTCCCTATCACTATCATCCTGCTTAATCCAATAAGGTCCCCAGATCTCCTCAATGTGTTCCTCTGACTTAACCTTCTGGTGAATGTCACCCTGGCCCCTTCCCTTTGCTCTAACTGTATGCCCACTGGCTATAGGCCCCAAGCTCCAGAATTCCTTTCTTACACCCCTCTCTTCCTCAATGACCATTTCTTTTAATCTAGCTTTTGGACAATCCTTCCCTCTCCTTCTTTCACTGTGTGTTTATTTCTTTTTGCTTATGCCTTGGAATCTTCTCCTACATTAAAGATGCAGCAGGAAAACGAGCAGCTGTTAAATTGTAAGCAAGCATGAAATAATTATCAGCGTATTTTAATATTGGTGGTGGCATGGTGTTACATGACATGAATAATAGCCACTGGCCATACACTGACCACTCACCGTCCACTGAAGCTAGACCACCAGGCAGAATCCTCTTCACATACACCCCGTACTCCTCTCCAGTCAGCTCCCTTAACCCTCCGATCACCTTAATACCTGCAAGCACATGTCATTCACATGCAAAGCATCAATTGAGTGTGATTTCCATCGTAGGCCCACCACTAAACATAGAAACATAGAAAATAGATGCAGGACCAGTCCATTCGGCTCTTAGAGCCTGCACCACCATTCAATACAATCATGGCTGATCATATAATCTCAGTATCCCATTCCCGCCCTCTCCCAATCCCCCTTGATCCCTTTAGCCACAAGGGCCGTGTCCAGCTCCCTCTTGAATATATCTAACGAACTGACCCCCACAGCTTCCTGTGGGAGAGAATTCCACAGGTTCACAACTTTCTGATTGAGGAACTTCTTCCTCATCTCAGTCCTGAAAGGGTTTACCCCTTATTCTTAGTCTGTGACCCCGAGTTCTGGACTTCTCCAACATCAGGAACATTATTTCCACATCAAGTTATCCAGTCCCATCAGGATTTTATATATATTTCTATGAGACACCCCTCACTCTTCTAATCTCCACTGAGTACAAGGCCAGTCAATCTATTCTTCAGTACAAGCCCAACCTATCCAGACTTTAAATGTGTAAAGGGCTCTGTATTGTATTCCGCTGTCCAATACTTTCCAGTGACTCTGTCTGGACCTCAGTTAGGAAAGATAATTAGTTGAGTGCAGTCCAAATAAAGTCTTATACTTCGCTGAAGTGATTTCATTAAGACAGCCATGATTCAGTTACTGAATGGACTGCGGGAATGTTGGGATTTTTTTACCAAACGTGAAGCAAGTGAAGTTAAATAATCTACTTCATTGTTCCATCTGCGATTGCTACGTGGGTAGAGCTGTAAAATATTTCTTCCCTTAAACTTTTACAAATTAAAGTACCTTTGAGAGTGTGTGTGAACGTGCTGAGGTTGATAACACGCTAAAGCTTTTCATCAAGGATATATTCTTATGCATTTTTAAAATCTTTATTCTTTGATAGAGTCATACAGCACAGAAACAGACTCTTCGGTCCAACCCGTCCATGCTGACCATGTTCCCAAACTAAACTGAATGTCCCTAATGTCAAAGGGGGACACGGTATAACCAAACCAAGGTGGCTAGCTGATCACCTAGAAGGATTAATCAGGCTTAAGCGTAAATATATTGACCAACTGAAACAACACAAGACTCACGTATAGGGATAGGTACAGTGCACAGTTAAGGCAGCGAAAGCTGCTGTCTGCTACAGGTCAGTGGAAATGAAGGTGGCAGAAATCTCCAACAGAAACAATAAACCCTCTGCCTGTGATATTAGAGGTCGGAGGATGATTAAGACCTTACAGGATGCTAAAGGATTACCCATGAAATATACAGCCAGGCTCTGGAATAAATGGGTCCTTTGCTTCAGTCTTTGCTGAATGCACAAGGGGACTATGTACAGTTGTACAATGTGTAGGTGGCGCTAAAATGGGCTAAAACGTTAAAACAGATACACATCCTTGTGCCTGGCTTTTAACTCTGGACTGGTTGCAGCTGCTCTTTGTATGAGATGAGTTAGAAACTCACACACTAGCCCTGAAATGAGGCCCAAAGCTCTGATTCAAACGCTGCTGACTGATTTCCCATCGGTAAAAGAAACACTAAAAATTAGCTTTTAAATTTTTTGAGTTAATTCACGGGTTGAAGTGGCGCAAATTTTTGACAACTGCAAACTTTGACAAGAGCACTTTCTGAAAAACAGAATCCCCAATTAACATATTTCAATTCAAAACAAAAAAAGAGGCGCTGCAGTGTGAATGTAGGAAAAGAAATAATCAAATATTTCACTCAATCAACACTTCTCTCTATGCGGTGATACCCTGGTGCTAATCAGTGTTTTGCAAGTAAGCTAATTGCGACGCTGGGATTGCCAACACCGGCAATAAATACAACAGCTTGGAATCAATTATAACAGATCTGTCTGATCTGATTTACCTTACCCCTGGCCCACGTGATATCAGGATCATCTGCTTTTTTGTATTAGATGCCTTCTATAAATGCACAAGGTCATTGCTGCCTATGTTTTAATCGGTCAATGATTGGACTGTGTCATTCACTGCCAAGCGCCAGAAGAGTACAGGATTTCAATAAAAACCAAAGAGAACTGCAGATGCTGTATATCAGAAACAAAAACAGAAATTGCTGGAAAAACTCAGCAGGTCTGGCAGCATTTGTGGAGAGAAATCAGAGTTAACGTTTCAGGTCTAGTGACCTCAGAACTTCCTCAGAATTACCGGATTTCCTTTAGTTTCCTTTATTATTCCTATATAATATCAGTCTTTCTGTGCACATGTCTCCCTCCCTGACAAACAGCAGAATAAATTCAAAATTCATCCACATTGAGGAGTGGTCATCTTTCTCAATATAAATTTCTTTGCTATCCTCATTTAGTAATTTCTTGTTTAAAGTCAGATTTATGAATAAAAGCCATTTCATATGTGAGTAAAAATTGATTGAAACCTGTCGTTAATGGTTATATCAACAGTAACCAGTGTGAAATTTCCAGACCATATTGATTCAGATATTTGCTAATCAGTCTGTCCAGATATGTTACTGCTCTGATTTGGAGCAAGTGGGACTTGAACCTAGGCCTCCTGCCTCAGAGCTAGGGACACTATCACTGAGCCCCTAGGCCACACTGATTCATTATCACCAGTCTTACTGAAAAAAAAACCCAGCTGGTCTGAGAAGCAGAGTCAAGGAACAAAATACAAATTAAACTATTTTATTAAATGAGGCTTGTGGCTGCACCTTCTGCACATGTGCTGGTTTATGCCTCATGTTCCACGTAACAAGTTCCTAATTTTAGGTAAGGATATGAAGAGAGAGGATAATATTTAGGACAGAGTCATCTTTGACATGTTGGTCTTAGATGGATAGATGCTGGCAGGGAGCAAGGATCTCAATGACTGAAGACCAAGAGTGAAGAAAAAAGGGAAAAAATACTTATAAGGAGAATCAAAGTTAAACAATAGTTTGTTCAGATTGCTCCCAAGCTACTTGTACAGACTACCGCTTCTATACTGAGTGCCTTTGCTTATCAAATCCAAATCAGTTACAGTGAAGGCCAAACAACAGGAAGCCCACTCAGAGCTGCCCCCTCACCACTTTCTCACATTTGACTCTCTCTCCCTGGGATTATTAGAGTACAATGAAATTTGCATAGTGAATTATGCATTTAGTATACAGATTGGTGCTCTGACAGATGGAACAGTGAACCTATCTTTCAGGATCATTATCATAGCTTCCTGAAGATCAGCAGCTGAAATGCAGCCATCCTCAGATGGACCACTAGATATAACCTGGATCTCAGATTCCTGTATTGATAAGACTTAATGCTTGTATTCTACCAATAGTCACAGCAGTTTGCACCACTCTGGGGGCCACAAAAACCCTGGTCCATGCTGATTAGCTTCTCTTTCTAGCACTGAAGACTTTGCATTGGTCTTTGCGTTTGTTGGATTGGAAAAGGAAGTGGGTTCGCCTCACGATGTTGATCCAGGAATGTCTGCTGGGAATGTGGGCACTTTGGAGTCGAATGGAATTCATATTAGAATAGGGGCCTGCGGGGTCAAATAATCCAGCACTGTCAAGGTCACATGGGAACATGGACCTCTTGGTCAAAGTGCCAGAGTATGAATTGCATTCGTGGCCCTCACAACTAATCTGAAATAAATCCCCATGGGAGTCAAAATTTGAGAAGGGCAAGTGCAACTGGGGAAGAGGAAAAAACACCTTCCAGTGAACAGACACAACGGTGGAAGATTTTCTCCAATGCTGTAATAGGAAGATAACAGATATAGTCATCAAATGTAGTGAGCACGATTGCATTATACCACTTCAGAATGTCACATAGCTTGTTGCAACACCTTGTTATTCAGAAAGAAGAGGGGCACTTTCATAATGAGTCTAACACAAATGCACAAGGTCTAACGCCCATTCTCTTCCCCATTAAGTGTTCCTCAGCTTCATTGCAGAGGGAAAGTGTCACAGGGTCACTTACCCAGTCCATTTTCACAGTCTGTGAAGTCTACACAGTGTACTCTTCGGTCTACTCCATAGGGCCCCAGTACTGTCCTAGAACGGAAGAAACAGTTACACTTAGTGCACATTGGACTTCCAATGAAACAATGATGCCTTTACTTTGAGAAAGATTGCCACTATTCTCGGCTGGTGGATTCTGCAGGAGTGCAGGTCCTCAGAAGTCCTTAGCCCTATCAACAGACCGACAGTAATTGGACAGTTAAATTTGAACTGATAAAAAGCTGAAAGCAGGCCATCAGATCTGGATCAACTCCAAAATGTTAAATCCTCGATTCGACCATCAAATCCACATTAGAACAATGACAATACTCCAGAATTATCTCAATGTGAAAAGTGCTTGGAGACATCTTGCAATTGGGGTGCGATGGTACAGAGATTATTGAGGATATAGCCAGGAGTGCAGGCTTCTGGTTGTGAACCATCTCAGAATGCAACATGCTGCATAGAGAAAAATCTATTTCTATCGCACTTGTGGTCATTTCCAATTCGAAACTTTTGCCCTCAGACAACGTGTTTAACAGGGAATGTACTGTATTGTAAATATTAAGACTATTGCAATTCTGTTGAGTGGAACATGCTGTAGGGAGTCAAGTTGAATTTTATTGCAAATTCTGTAATATTCAAGTCAAATGTTTTGTGATTGAAATAACAGCACACAGAGGCCAGTATCCCATCAAAAAGTCACCCCTTTTTTTCACATGTGTACCTTCCATGGGCTGTGATCAGCCAGCTCAAAGCCAGTCCATAGACTTAGGAGACTCTGAATCTCCTTTTTATATCAGCCAGGGCTCCCTGATTGGCCCTGGTTAACAACCCCAATCAGGAACTCATAGCCATGAGATCCAATTGACCCAATCACTACAATGATGTTCCTTTTACAAAAGTTTGCGAATAAAGTGTATGTTTGTGGGAAATTAGCAGTGAAGAAGGCTTTTACGGCTGTGGTTCTCTTCTCTGGAACAGAGGAGGATGAGGCAAGCTTTACTTGAGGTATAAGGGGCCTGGATAGAGTGAACAGGAAGGACCTGATTGGCTTCACAAGGAGATGAGTAATTGACTTAACTTAGGAGCATTAACCAATCTGGAGGGCAATGTCCGTTACTCAGACAAGGTTGAGGGTCTGGAACTCACTGCCTGCAGGGATGATAAAGACAGAAACCCACGCAGCATTTAAAGATACTTGGATCTGTACTTGAAATGCCGCAACCTACAAAGTTATGGGAGAAGAGTTGGAAAGTGAGAAATGAGGCTGGACAGTTCATTATAGGGCAGCAGAGAAATATGAGCTGAAAGACCTCCTTTTGTACCTTTCTTAGCATCATGTGTCTATTCAGAAGTTTCTTCCATTGCTCCTCAAATAGATCAGATTTTTAACTCCTTCAAATATTTATTAAACACAATAGTTTGCCTTTCGTGCCACCTTACTGCCGCACACTGATTCAGTGAGTTTTTTTTAATTTAAATGACTGATGTCTCATCTTGAATTTTAGCTTTGTGTTTCTAAGATATTTCCAGACAAACTTTAGCAGTGGAGTTGCAGGTTTAATGTTGTTCGTTGAGATTTGTTAGTTGAGGGAAAATAAGGAATGTTGCAGTCCTGGCTGCTCACAATTATCATTAAAACCTGCACCAAAATTCATTGCACTCTTTTTCAGTTATTGCTCGTACAGAAAATTCCAAAGAAAAATTCACTTTGGATATGTTGCTCAGTCGCCCATAAGTTGCAGCTAAGTAAATACTAACAAAGGAGGAACAAATTAACCTGTCGCAGAAGTCTAACATTAATTAAAACATATTAAAACGGTTCAAATATAGTTGGAACAATCTGTCAGTGAGTGCCCACTGAGTACACATCCTTGTCCATATATCGACGGCTGTTCTTATAGAGCAGGGCAGAAGTGAATTCAGGAGCTGATTCTTCCAGCATCCAAGGGATTGTCACCATTTCCCTGAACACAGCCAACATTAACGTTGACACAAGGCATGATTATTATTGTTCGTGAGACTCTTTAAGGCCATGAGACTATAAGAAAAAGGATGAGGAACAGGCCTTTTGGCTCCTGTTCTTCCATTCAATAGCATCAAGTCTGATCCGACCTCCCTCACATCCACTTTCCTGCTTTTCCCCCATTATCTTTGATTCCCCATCTGATCAAGAATCTGTCTATCTCAATCCTTAAATATACACAAGGACTCTGGCCCCACAGCTCTCTGTGGCAAGGAGTTCCAAAGACTCACAACCCTCTGAGAGAAGAAATTCCTCCTCATCTCAATCTTAAATTGATGCCCCTTTCTTCTGAGACTATGCCCTCTGGTCCTAGACTCTCCCACGAGGAGAAACATCCTCTCAGCATTTATCTTGTCAAGCCCCTTAAGAATCTGTTATGTTCCAATGAGATCACCTCTCACCTTTCTAAACTCCAGCCTTCACTCATAAGACAAATCCCTCCATACCAGGGATCATCCTAACGAACCTTCTCTGAGCTGCCTCCAATGAAATGATACTTTTCCTTAAATAAGGGGACTAAAACTGCATCATAGTAGTCCAGGTGTGGTCTTACCAGCACCTTGTACAGTTGCAGTAAGACTTCTGTACTCTTATACCCCAATTACTTTGAAATTGTACTGTGCTGTACTGTTCTATGTTCTATCTTTACTCAGAGAGTAGTTGGGGCGTGGAATGCATTGCTGGAGAGGGTAGTAGAGTCGGCCTCATTAGGGGCATTTAAGCGGCTATTAGATAGGATGATAGTATAAGGTAGGGGTGGAGGTTAGATAGACCGTAGGTTTAGGATAAAAGTTCGGCACAACATTGTGGGCCGAAAGGCCTGTACTGTGCTGTACTGTTCTATGTCCTATGTTCTAAATAAGGGCCAACCTTCCATTAGCCTTCCTGATTACCTGCTGTACCTAGCTAGTGTGTTCTATGTGCAAATACTTCAACTCCCTTTGTGTTACAGCTTTCTGCAGCTTCTCTCCATGTCAATTACTTTCGTTAAAATTCTTCCAGTGCCAACTGCATTCTTCCCAGACCAGGTCCAGATTTTTCCTCGGAAGTGCAAGGTTTCTCCCCTCCCTACACCTCGACACAGATTGATGGTGCCATTTTGTTTGTGCTATGGGGTCCTGAGGAACAGGACAGCCCTGAGAACATTCTGAAAACAACAACACTGCGCTGCTGTTTCTTTTCCCGAAAGAATAAATAGCGACATCCTCATGAGACGGACACATTTCCAAATCACCGGGACACCCCACAATGTTTAAAAAGTACTTGGATGAGCACTCGAAGTGTCATAACCATCAAGGCTATAGGCCTAGCAGGGGAAAGTGAGTCTGATGTCGGTAGTAGCACATTTTTGATGGTACAGACTTAATGGGCCGAATGGTCTAATTGTATGATTCTTGCTACAACTGAACCTGCTTGCTGCTTTGGCGAATAAATGAGAATGGAAAGAAGATTAGAGCCTCCACAGAAACTATCCATGGCTGCAGGCCACAACGTGCTTGTAAAAGTGCATGTCACCACGGCAACACAGACTCCCTGAGTGAACTGCAACACACCATCACCAACTGTGACTGTTTTCACGTGCGACATTAACTAAAGTTGAGAGAGAAGGTTTATCAGGGCAGCAGGCTGCGAAAATGTCTGTGCGAAAGGTGCAGAGAGTCTGGAGAGTAAGATCTCTTAAACTGCACTTGCCCTCCATAAAATTCAGTAGAGACAACCAATGATTTGACCAGAATGTGTCTGAAAAGTAGCTCCAGCCAATGTTTTAATCAAAGTGACTCGTAAACTAAGGCTGGGTCTTCCTGAAATTTTAAAACAATTCCACGATTCTGTTTGCGGAGATTAGTCAAATGTTGGCACATCTAAAAAGCCTGAAGATGGACAGCATAGACAAATAAAACTAGTGATTGAATTAAATTCTTGGTGACACAGACCTATTTTCACTTTCATAAATCAGGTTACGAGGCTACTTACAGAATTAGCTCAAATGTAAATATTCTATTTTCAATAAAAACCCAACCCAGAGGGAACTGATCCTGGAAAGGGATGTAATCTCACTGGGCTCTGAGGGATGTGGGCTACGGTGAGGCATGTGGTAGAATTGGTTGCAATGCTCACTGATGCTCATCTTGATGTCAAGATCATCTTGCCACATCTTGTTCACTATTCTTAAGTGGCGTGGTGAGATTTTTGCTAGGCAACAGTATGTTCCCAATTGACGCTTATCATTGCGTGTTAAACACATTGCTAACAGCCTAACCTGGCATGGATTGTGATCTTACCACACAAACTAACTGTCAGCAAATCTCAATATGGAAACTAAAGCTTGTTCTTGGTATCACAGAATCCCTACAGTGCAGAAATAGGCCATTCAGTCCATCAAGTCTGCACCAACCCTCCAAAGAGCATCCCACCCAGACCCCCAGCCTATCCCCATAACCCCACATTTGGCATGAGTAATCCCTCTAGCCTACACATCCCTGGACACTACAGGCAATTTAGCATGGCCAATCCACCTAACCTGGACATCTTTGGACTGCGGGATGAAACTGGAGCACCCAGAGGAAAACCACGCAGACATGGGGAGACTGTGAGAGGGTGGTAATAGTGAGATTGCAGCAAATATCGATCTAATTCTATACAGAGCAAGGGCTGGAACAGACTGACATCATTATCAACTCAGAGAAGATTAAGGTCAGCAATTAAAGGATAACTCAGGTCACACTGCAAGATACTGTTTATGAAAAGCAAACATAATCAACAACTTTTAACAATGATACCATCACAGCCACTGGGTTTTTATTTCATTTTCCATGATGTGGACATCACTGTAAGGTTGACATTTCCCTGTTTCCTGTTGCCATGACATCTCTTTGCCTGTAAAAGTCACTCAAAAATGTGAGAGGGGAACTAAAAGCCGAGTAGAATATCTATGAAATCAGTTAAGTAGTTCACCTGTTATTATTACTGCAGGACACACTGAGAGGGGAGGGGGTGAGATCTATCATGAAAGACAGCAACCTACAAAGCTGATTGTAGTCTATAGATAAAATCGTTTTTCACAGAATGTAGCAAAGCTCACAAACGCATAAATAACATTGAGGAAACACACAGGCAGATAAAGCAATCCTTGTAAATCTGTCTTCATTACTAATGCTCTTTAAACTCCTGCTTTTGTTATACACTCGCTTTTACAAGTGAAAAGTCTCTGTCCTTATAAGATACCTTGATATTAGACTTTGTCTCTGAAATGGCCCTTGATTTTGGCCAAGTGAAGAAGAATTTTCTCCAACTGATTGATAATAAGAGACAGTGTATTAAACTAAGGAGATCTCATTTTTATTAACCGGTTAAACACTGGTACATTAACTGCTTATTTCTTTACCTGTAGCTTTCATGTCTTGTAATTCTATTTCCTTCTATATACCCAAAAATAACAACCATTTTGGTAAAAACTCATTAGATCCCTACCTCCCATTCCCATTCAACCTCAATGCCATGGTCCTGTTTCATTTTAATTTCAAAGAAGTAGCTGAGTATTGAAATCCTTAAGCAAGGAAATGCTAGGTTGGGGAGTGTAGGCAGCATGTTATTATAGTATTTAAATCTTGAATTCAAGCAACAATTGGAACTCTTCCCAAACTCAACGATTTGAAAAGCACTCTCCCCTTTCAATAGAGTGCACCACGCTGAACAAATATGTTATCATGATGACTATCAACATTCGTTCAAATTTTTCCAACAGTGCCACAACAAATATCACAATGAGATCCTTCTTGTTGGTACAAAGTATAGCAGTCATGGTCAGATAAAGGAATGCCTTATCTGAGTACAGATTGTATCAAACAACTCAATTCTACCAGCAACGTCATGACATGGATTACAGTAGATTTCTCAACCACAAGACCATCTAACTTAGTCAGATAGTGAAGATCAATTGTGTTTCTAAAGGTTATTATGTACTGTAGAAAGAAACCATTGAGTATGTGGAAATAAACTGCCTCTCACATACGTATTATTAAAGTAAACCTACCCATACAGGTGTAACATCATCAGTGTCTCCATAGTCTATCTTACTGGTGAAGTGTCTAACTTGAGCCACAATTAAATGACTGAGCATGCTCTGTGAAGGAGGGCAAGTGATAATAGTCCCAGCACAGGGCTTTGAACCTCCCATTTCCTTACACCGTGTGGTGGCAACAGAAAATATTCTTGTCTCAAACAATTTCAAACAACAAATGCAGGAGATTCAAACATAAAGAGACCAGATCCTAATCAGACCAAACCATAGATACAAATACTCTTAGCAAACCCAACAAGGAATATTGACACAGCCTCTGCCTTTTATTTAACCGGTGCCACTTTTAGTGACGTTTGTGCCAGCGATTGTCTCAAATATCAACACTGACTGATTTGGGCGTAAGGATATTTGAAATGTTAACAATCAGAAAGGAACAACACTGTTATGTCTTCAATGAAATCACTTTAAGATGAAAAAGAGACGTGGAGGTTTTCCCCTCTATTCTTGCTTACTTCTTTACACTTTAAACAGCATTGTATTTGTCTTCGCGAGACAGTATAAAACAGCGGGTAGTGAAATTACAGCCTACTTCAGATTTCTCCTGATTTTTATTCCTTGCCTTCAATGGGGATGCAAGCCTTCGACTCACCGTCACATCCTCTCTCTGGCATTAATGCACAAAATCCTTCCTCAAAACTCTGCTTAAAAAACCTTTATTGCCAGTAATGAGCTTCCTTTGAATGAGGACAAACTTTTATTTATGTCATGCCATTTCACAACTTCAAGATGTTTCAAAGTGTTTCACATTCAATTAACTCCGCTAGAAATAACATTCACACCACACACATGCCAGTCTATGACCATCACCAATAAGAGACAATCTAATCACTGCTCATTGACAATCAATGATGTTACC